TGCATAAAAAGCTATTTGTGATATTCAAAATCTACAAATACTAGCTGTTTTTTGGGTGTGGGTGTGGGTGTGTGGGTGTGGGTGTGGGTGTGGGTGTGGGCGTGGGTGTGAGTGTGGGTGTGGGTGTGGGTGTCGGTACTGTTTGTCTTCACAGAGATACGTACCCACGCCCACACCCACACCCACACCCCACGAGGAATCAGAATATGCCATTGGATTAATGATTCGATCGATTTATGATGGAATACTATCAATTTTTCGATAGAACTGCGAAATTTATTTTTGCAAAAGAATTTCAAAAATGGCCTTATAGTATTTTGCCGATATCTCAATGAAAATAGGGTTAAATCACAATTTTTTTACCAAAATGATCAGCAGAAAATGCTCTACAAATCCTGAAAGTTTCATCAATTTTGGACGAGGTTACCGTATTGACTGGCGACTTCTGGTGGATACACCCATATGTATTTTTCACCATACTTTCCTATACTTCTTGTACTTCTCTGTACCTCTCTGTACTTCTTTGTACTTCTCTGTACTTTTGTACGTCAGAAGTACAGAAGTCCGCTTTTCCCCCCTTGCGAATAGTTGAACACTTGAATTTAACTTTCGAGTTTGATACTACTGGAGATCGCTCACAAAATCTTCAAAAACGAATTTCTTTTACGATCAGATGTTCGGAAACAGGTGGTATGAAATGTAATTTACCCGTAAATTCACTTGTTTATGATATTATCTTAACATTATTGTCAAATGGTATTTTGCCTACGCAAAAGCACTGTTTAGTGTCAAACATATCGATTACAATTCGAATGTATATCAAGTTTATTGTGTGGGAATCTTTTAATCTCAATATAATTGTCTCATTTTCTAAAGTCAAGTTTTATTTTCTATTACATATATATAGATACAGAATACCTATCAATCAATTAAAAGAAAAAAATGGAGCAATTGAAGATTGTTTATCTGTTTTTCATCTACTGCCTATTGATGAAATGTGATGGAAAACCATCGCACAGTAAGTTTACTTTGTACTATGGTTTCTATTCATTAGAATTTTTATATTATTAAGATATCTTAAAGAGAAGTACTTCTGGAAATGTACGATGTGATGAATATGCCAATGATTTAGATATTATTTCTCGTTTTCCATTTACTGTTGGTCTTGATTATAGACAACAAGGACCTGATAAGTCTACGGCATTTTTAGATTCGACAAACACTTCTGTAGTGATGATTCAACTTCGACAAGCTTGAAGCATCGTTCCTGAAAGTGTTTTCTGTTTGAAAAATCTTCAAGCTTTGGATATTATGAATATGTTTTTCGTCAATAATATTGTACCAGATTCTTTATCAAATCTTCAAGAACTTCATACTCTTAGTATGACAAATACACCAATTAGGAAAATGACTGATGAATTAGGAAGTCTTCGAAAGCTTCAAAGTTTAACTTTAGACAAATGTTCACTTTCTCATTTGCCAAATCTTAGTGAATTAACTAATTTAACTACAGTTACTCTTCCAAACAATCAATTATCTAAACTTGAAGGTTTAACAAAACTTTATTCATTACAACTTTATAAGAATCAATTCACCGAAATTCCAACTCTGGCAGTACCTGAAGCACTTCTTCGACTTAATATGAACTATAATCCAGTAATGGACATGTCTTATACTCTTCTTTTTAAGAATATAACAGAAATCAGAATCGCTGAATCAAAAATTTCGGTTATTCCTTCGCACATTTTTCTACTTGAAAAACTCTCGTTTTTGGATTTATCTCATACACAAATAATTCGTATACCAAGAAGCATCTTGAATTTACCTTATCTTCAATATTTGGTTGTACAACGCAATGAAATTCCACAAGAAGAAGTGGATTCATTTAAAATGGAATTACTCAATCAAAAATCAAAAATCAATTTACTCATCTAATTTTTTGTTTTTTAATGAGAATATCAATAAAAATTGATTGATTGAAACTTTGTTTTTCAACCGAAAAGAGATACAGAAGAGACATTTATATCAGAGATATCCATGGAGGCGTGGTAGTGGTAGTTTCTTTTGGAAGATAATGGAAAAAATGCATGAATTTCAACATTTGCAAGTGTAAAACGATGAATCTAATCGATTTCCAAACAATCTTCCTTTTCAACAGCGATCGCGGCGCAGCAGCAGTCAGTTTTCAATCATGATGAACATCTCTGACTTATATTCTCATCCTTCAAGATATAAATTTTTTATTAATAAAAAGATTCAAAAGAAAAAATTCTCGAATCTGCTCAAGGCGCTGTATAAGTAATTTTCAGATATGGTATAGCTTGTCCATATTGACAAACAATATATTCTTGATATTGAAATTCAGTACCATGAACAGAATGATGATTTTGTAGTGCTGCACTGAGAGAATTATTTGCTTGTGATTGTACAGATTCGACACCTAATAAAACTTTATTGTAAAAAATAACACTACGATGTGTAATTAGATCTGGTGGTGCATAACTATTCGATTTTCGGGGATCATCTTAGTTTCGTATAAAACCTTTTTTGTTTCCAGTGTACGGTAATACAAACTACCTCTCAAACAATCTCAGACAGACCATCATAAATAAGCTTCATACACCGAAAGAAAATATTGTTTTAAACTATATGCAGTGCTAAAAACTACCTGATGATTCAGACCCTTGAGAAAGGTCGAAACTGTACCCAGTGAAACATATTTATCAAAAAGAACGGCAAAGAACGCGTTCCAATTTCGTAGAAAACTTTTTTTAAGAAAAAAAACGTTTGCTTATAAAAGTAGAATCCGTTCCGAAATGGAACGGTCAAGAACACGTTCTCATCCTTAAGGAACGCTTTGTTTCCTTAAAAAAACGGCTTTCACGTTCTCGGAACGCGTTCTCGGTCGTTACCATTTAAAATGATGAAAAACGCGTTCCTAGATCAGCTTTTCCTATAAGAACCCTCGGAGAGTTCCGAATGATTGACAAAACATACCTCTTAGGAACCCTCGAGAAGCCAGGAAAAAAGGTGAGAAATATCTGTAGACTGCCTTGGAAGTTTTTAGGCAGTCTACAGATATTTCTCA